GAAGCCTCTTGTACGTCACTGGAATGCACCTCAGTGGAAGGCTTTGGATTTTCACGAATTATATGCAACAAGGAGTTATGACGCGATTTACAAAATTTGCAGCTACCAGAGAAACAATCTTTCAGCATATGTCCAACTCTCAAACAATTTAAGCAAAGCCGTTTTTTCTTTGCTTCATTAATACGCTCTCTAACACTGAGATTTTTAAAATCAATACAATCCTGAACAAAATGCTCCTTCTTACAAAAGCCACAAGAAACCGAGTTAGAGGTAACAAAAGAACGAGTTTTATTATCATGTCTTGAATTAAATTCGGTTTTTGACTTAAATTCGGTTTTTGACTTAAATTGCTTTTTTTCAGATTTTGTTTGCTCTACGGCTTCCAAAAAATTAGCGCGCTCACGTAAAAATTTTAACAAATCTGACAACAGCGGCTTTTGAATTTCAGATTTGAAGTTCTCCCATTTTCGCAAAGAAACTGCATCCAATTTCGTAGAAATGAGATAAATCAAAAGCGTGTCCCAGTTATCTGTAGGCTCGTTCAACGCGTTCAAAGATCTAATATGTTTTCCGATATTATCTGCTAATTTTCTAAGCGCACCCGACGAATTTTCCTGTATTTTATCCAGATTGAAAAGTTCTCGCAAGTGATTCTGAACTAAAACTTTACTATTGTTATAGCGGCCACAAATTAATTGCCAAGCGGATTCGTAATTCGCGTTGGAAAAACCCAAATTCGCAATAACTTCCAGCACTTGGGGCCCTAAAAATGACCTTAGGTAATGAAATTTCTGAATTTCTGACAAACTTTCCTTATTGTGAATTAGTGATTCGTAAGTGTCTCGAAATTCCAACCACGAATTATAGTCACCATAGAATGTTTCAATTTCGATTGTTGGCAATTTAACTCCCTTAAACACGAGACCCTGTGCGGCTAAACTCGCGTTACTCCTGCCTGATCCAGCGTTGCTGGCAGAATCTACATTATCCTGATCAACAGAAGAATCCGATAAAAATATTCTAGCCCTAGCAACCACCAGATGATAATTATTTTCGAACGTAACGCGCTCTTGATATTGCTTTTCGAGGTCGGTTAATGGACAAATAGCTTCAATACTATCTTGAACCTGCTCAAACTCGCTCGCCAAACCAGAAAATGTTTCAAAACGAGATTCTAAATCTAAAAAAATGACGCGATCGGTTACAACATTTTCAGGGTACTTATTTTCTAAAAACAAAACAAACTTTTCAAAATTAGTTATTTTGGCCTTAACGGCGCCACGTTTACGAACAAGGGGATCCATGTTTTCTGTACTCATACTAATTATAATGCTTAATTATCGTACCGAAGTCAAACACAACGAAACGCGTTTGACAAATGCAACAAACGAAAAATGTACGGTTAAAGCAAGATCGAAACCGAAACTGTTTCAATCACGAAAAAGGACAAAAAACATGGAAATAAAATGGAAAGGACCCACCTTATTATTGCTGTTGTTCTTCAATGATGATTCCACAGGTTACAAACACCAAACCATAAAGCAGCTCCACATTCGGCTCGAAGGCCATGTATAAAAACGATGACGAAGTGGACTGTATCAAAGTTTTATTCTTCTCTAACGTTCACGTTAACAAATCAAGTATTAAGAATAATAATTCTTACTATAACCACAAAAACAAGATTCATTTCTAATTGAAAATTAAGCAAATTGAGCAAGAATATGAAAGAGCATCAGCTCATGCAAAACTAAAAAATATTTACGACTAATTTTAACAAAGGGTGCGGCTCGAGTAGCCGAAGTCGGTGAAAATCAATAAAGTACTGCCTTTTAGAGAATTGTCCCCTCTCCGTCTAGTCTTCTCACTTCGGGTAGTTTACGCATCGCCGTAAAAATGTGTATTTGTAGATATTATATTAGGTTTTGGCCTTTTTTAATGTAGCAAGGCAATGTTGAATTTATTGAAACAGAAAATATTGTTTGTGATTTTTAACAGTTGCAAAAAAGTCAATTTTCAACTGTCAATATTTCCGAAACAGTTGAAGATAGGTATATGACATCGTAAATGAAATATTTCTTGAATTTTCCGCAGAATCCAGAAATGTCATAATATACCGAGGGTGCTTCGAAAAAAATGAAGTTGATACCAGCGAAGCTATTTTTGAAACACGTGTCTGAGCGATTTTTCAAAAAGTCCGTTTTCAAAATAATGAATTTTAGTATGCGGGTCTTTATGAACTCACTGTACTGAATTAAACAGTATAGCAGTGTACCCAACCTCTCAAATTAATAATTCCCTTCATGGATCCCAAAAATTCCCTATTTTATATATTTTAGAGTTAAAATTCCCTGCTTTCAATGGTCGCGTTCACCAACACTCAACATGTTGAATGATTAATCCTTATTCCACGAAACGAGATAGTAGATAGTAGAGGTAAACAAACAGGCGGAGCTTAAAAATTCAGAGAAGGACTGCAAAAATATGAATTACAACCAATGACATTTATTATTGTCAGGTTTTCATATGAGTCAAAAGATTTTGGTGCCGTATTTCCTAGTATTTTACAATTATTTAAATAGTGTTTGGTGAATTATTGTTAATTAGTGAGCAATTTATATTAAAACAATGTCAAGTTCAACAGATTCCACTGAATACCAAAAATAAAGATATTCAGAAAATACAAATACAAAACAACCTAAGACGGTCCTGTCAAGTGCGGAGTATAATCCTTTCCTAGCCAATAAAATTCGACTTACCTGTCAAAGTTTGTTTACTTTCACTAACTCGTCTCGTGAAATGAACTTATAAGCGGCTTTGTTCCTAGCATGTGGAATACACAAGGTAGGACAGTTTTGATTGGCCTAGAGTTGATTTTCATCTGTTTTTAACAAAGCCGCTGACTAATCACTCAACATGTTTAGTGCTGGTGAACGCGAGCAATGTTGCCAATAGGCCTTTTTGGAAACATTGATCCGATTAACCGGATCACCAACTGATGTACTTTGTCTTTTTTCAATCGTGTTTATTAAAGAAAGATAAAAAACAAACAGTTGGTGATCGGGTTAGGCGGATCAGTGTTTCCGAAAAAACCTTACGAGTACATCTAAGTAAATGCCAAATGACTTCACCTATATCAAAACCAAAAATATCTCCTTTCAATTGTGTATGTAATAAAACAAAAAATTGAGTCGTTTGGATGATTAAACGGATAACAAACAAATTGCAAAAATTAAGCATGAGCACTAAAATAAATACAACCGGGAACCCCTGAAACCCAACCTTGCTGCGTTCGGCTATGTCACTCCGCGCGCTCCGAGTAACTCCGTACCGACTCCAGGCGTTCGAGTATTAATTGACCTTTTGTTTGGACGCAATATTGCGGTGCGCGAACATAGTTGCCAAAAGTAGAAAAAAAATCACTAGCGTACTGTCAACATTAAAAACAAAACTTACATTTAAAATTTAAATTTGCTGCCTATTACGAATGTTTTTGAAAAGAACAGCCATTAATTTTAACTTGCATTGGGCAGAATAGAAATAATAAAATATCTACCTATTCACTTTACCAAATTTCAGTTTCCTTTCTCAAGCCTAATACTCATAACCGCGAAATTCGCTCTTTTTTGACATTGCTTCGACAATTTGACGTTTAATTCATGCCACAGATTTATGCATAAAACGTCAAATTGTCGAAACAATGTCAAAAAAGAGCGAATTTCGCGGTTATGAGTCCTAGGCTTTATTGTTTATAGAATCAGAGAAAGAAAGTAAACAAACAAAAAGGATAGCGAGGATCAATCATTTAGTTACTTTTGTTTTTAATGTTGACAGCTCGCTAGTAATTTTTGTTTTCTTCTTTTGGCAACTATGTTCGCGCGCATATGCATATGGCGTCCAAACAAAAGGTCAATTGCTTTTCGGCGTAGGTAGAGTGACATCGCTTACTCCACTCCAAATTCGTGCTGAACACAACTTCTATCTTCATCGATGTCAAACTTCTATTTCACAAAAATTCCCTCATTTCAACGATTTTATTTAAAAAATCCCTTTTCCCTTTTGGGTGCCAAAATTCCCTAAAAAGGGAAAATTCCCTGCAGTTGGGAACACTGCAGTATAGGCCCTGAAAATGATTCTTGTGATACTCCACAAGTTACATATTTTTCAAGACTTTTGTAGTTATTCATTTGTAGGGCGTTTTTCTATGTATTGACACCCCACTTTACAGGTAGAAGAGAGATGTAAAGTGTGGTTTTTTTTAAAGATAAAAGTCAAAATGACATTATGTTGGCAATACAATGTAAAATTGTCAATGCTTTCAAATTTTTTATGTAGAAAAGGCTTGTGTTGCCAACATAGTTGAGATGGTTCACCCCTATTATATTTTGTAAAGCAGGGTGGAACGAAAGATCCGTCAATCACACGATAGATGGTTGACGGAAGTGACAGTCAGTGACGGAAAAGGTCAGAGAGAAAAAGAGTCACGGTCTTTCTTAAAGCTCTAGCTCTGATTGTTCATCTGTATTTGGTATTAATATAACGTTTTATTGTTCCGTTCTCGTGTTGAATTTATCCACGACCCATATTCGGTGTTGAGCTGTTTCATAGTTACTAGATTTTTGACTTGGGGAATTATCTTTAAAAAAAAAACAGATTTTAAATACAAAACTTGTACAGTTTTGGCTAAACTTTTTTAGTATCCATGGTCCGAAACAAAAATTGAATGTCAGAAATGTGAAATGTTGCATGATTTCAGTTTTCTCAAATCGGATACCCTATATTTGGTTCTATTTTCTTGAAGAGCACAGCACAATTTCCCGATCCCAAAAATATATAGTTTGTCTCCATTTGGTTGAGCTTACTCCAACATATTTGGTTCTGAATAAAGAGTGAAGGCTTTTTTTACTAGATATTTGGTTCTGTATTCACAAAAATAAATGATATTGTAGTTTTGACATAGTAAATTAATATTCATCAAACTAAGTTCAATATTTATTTTATAGGGCCCCAGTAAAGAAGAAGTATTCAAAAAATACAACACATTACTCGACGAATATTGGAAAGGAGAAGTAGATCTAAAACAAGCAATCAATTCCTACAAAGAACACAAAGTACCAGAAAAATTTGTCAAAGAAGTAATCCTATCAGGCCTCTCATTGGCCTTGGACAAATCGGACGTCGAGCAAGAAAAACTAATCAAACTCGTCGGAAATCTGAAAGAAGACGGCGCAGTCTCGGGCGGCGCAGTCCAAGAAGCCTTCAAATCTTTGTGTCACGTTTTGGAGCAACGCGAAGCCGAAGCGGAAAAAGTCATCACGGCTGCTTCCGGTTTATTGGCGGCCGCGGTTTGCGAACATTTAGCTCCGCTGTCGGATATCGCGATGCTGACCGACAACGGAGCCCACTATCCGTTGTTCTTATTGGTCTTGCAAAGGGTCAAAACGAAGACTGGCAAGTCGGAATTGAGCGAGATGTTTAACAAAAGCAAAATCAATTTGATGGCTCAGCTTCCTGAAAGTGACAAGACGAAAGAAAGGCTTTCTGAGATTTTGGAGGAAAGGGAACTGACATTTTTGTATCCTTTGTTGCGTATCCAGGCTGACATGGCCAGGCAATTGGCGGTGGATCCTAATCCTCAAACTTTTTACAAGTGGATCAAGGAGAATTTGGAATCGGCCAACTTTAACGATCCCGGATTTATTAACGCCCTGGTCACTGTTTTGATTAAGTATATTACGCAAGAAGCCCAATTATCTGCCGGAGACGAAAAAGCAATGGTAAGATGACATTTATTAAATTGAATCCATTGTTTTCTAATGTGATTTTTTTTTTTAGATTGAAAAAGAACACGCCCTATTGAAACGTTACCAGCCGATCCTGCACGCATTCCTGAGAGACAAATCGTCCCTTCAACTGGTCGCAGTGTACTCGTTGCAAATGCACTTTTCCGGACAAAGTTTTCCGCGCGGTCAGCTCCTGAGGTGGTTCATGGCCATGTACGAGCTGGAGATTGTCGACGAGGAGGCTTTTCTGAACTGGAAAGAGGACATTTCCGACGCTTATCCGGGCAAAGGACAAGCACTATTTCAGGTAACCGGTTTTTCGATTTTTATTTTAGGTTTTTTGTGGGTAATACCACGAGTGCTTCTAATTTTTCTGGAAGAATTTGGAAAAACAATGTAACAAGTACCTATAAAAAGTACTCTGATGATAGCACACTCGTTCTTTTTGTCAAACAAATTACTTTGTAATAAGTTTTTCTGCCTACTCTGTGGAAATCTCTTTCTGGTATACTAATTTGAACTCCATAATGAAAAAGATTGATGAGGGAAACGCAAATCTTCAAATGTTCTTACCAACTATTATTTTGGTAACATAAACATGGCTCCATGAGATGATTCCATATAGCTTGGTGCAAATTTCTGGATACACAATATACAGAAAAGATAGGTAAAATAAGAAATGAGGGGGCATTTGTATATTTTTCCGCAGCTCCATTCTGGGCCACCATGTTCAATCTGCAATGAGCTCCATATATTCCACAGCTGTAGAATCATTCTTTTGATAGATGGTCAGCCAATGATTGTTTCATGCATATATCGGTCTAAACTGCAAACCCATGTAGAAGACAACCTGAAACATATAAAGGTTATAGAACGATCTCGCAACACTGGTACTTCTACTTTCATTTTTGGAGATTTCCACTCAGATTTCATAACAAAGAGAATTGCCTTTCAACACGTAAATCTTCCTACCAAAATAAGAGGAAATTAACAGTCTCCACTTGATCTGCTATCAGTCAGTGACAAGAGCATCCACCAATTGGATTAAGTGACCATGTAGTCATAACAGATAAATCCCAAATCCAGATTACTCCAGAACCAACAAATTAAATATGTAAGAAGAGATTATGAATTTATTAACACACATCTACAGCAAGAATTCTCCAGCACCACTGCTTACTATAAGCGGGCCATGTACAGGGTAGCCCGTTTATTTTGTCCTATCTCTGCATATAGAAATCTAGATATTTTATAACAAAAAGTTAAATAAAAAAGTTGTAGGGTTCAAATCATTAATTTATTTTTTTGTATTTGCGCATATGAGTGAACACATCAGATTTAGGTTTTTTTTTATGGAACACCCTATAAATTTTTATATTTTTTGATAGTGCTTCTAAGGGTGTCCCGATGGACTCTACAAGGATCTCTGTAACCTTAAGAGATACACTGTTAGTTAAATTTGGAAAAAGTTGCGCATTACTAAGCTCAATGGCGTCATGTTTTGATATTTCGAAAATTTCAAAGAATTTCGAAGATATCTATAAAAAACCGAATTTTGCCGAAATCATTTTAAATTTTTTCTGACTTTATTTGAAATGATACCGCAAAATAAATGTGATTTTATCGTTGCCATTTTTTCTCCTCTACAAGATCCTACCATCAAATTTAAAATCTGATGTTTCGTCTTTGGGCCACCATCCACCATCATCAACTTCATTTTTTAAATACGACACTTGAATGATGAAGTGACATTTACTTTGCAATATAATTTTAAATAGAGTCAGAAAAAAGTAAAAACGATTTCGGCGAAATTCGGTTTTTAATAGGTATCTTCGGAATCATTCCGAATTTCTGAAATATCAAAACATTACGCCACTGAGCTCAGTAATGCGCAACTTTTTCCAAATTTAACCGACCCTGCTTCTCTTATGGTTCCAGAGATCCCTGTAGAGTCATCCTTATCCCGGACACCCTGTATAAATATATATATTTTGATAGGGTTATTATGTACGGCTTTGGATTTATTTACGGGGAACTGCCAATTTTTAGATTATTGTAGAAACGTTGAAAATAAATATTTTAAAGTTGGACTTTGACCATATTATATGTTTTTATCATAATCCTATCTGCTTCTGCACTTCTCTAAAGAGGAATAGAAAATCTTTTAAAGGAGGTATCACACGGGGTAGGTTCTCATTTTAGAAAAATTATTAGAAGGGGGTAGCTCCCAAGACAAGAGGAGTGGGGGTTAGTCAATAAACAGATTTGCTTTCCCTGATGTGTATTTGAGACTTTTATGACAGAATTCTTTTGTCTAAAATAGTCAAAATTCCTAGAAAACTAATAAGATTTAAGATTTTGCTATAAGACTTTGAAGGGAGAGTATCGAGCTATCCAACGATGTGTAACGCCAGATAGGTTCGTATTTAAAAAGAAAATAAGTTGGGGCAGCTACCCCCTAAGGGTTAAGGCAGGGTGACTCAAGGAGTGCCTCATTTTGATTCCCCCTCCAATCCCCCGATAAGTATTTGAACTCTTCTGGATAGTATTTTTTATCAAAGAGATATTCCCGATTGCTACTTTTCAAATTGTCATCCTGTATATTTGAATTTGTCAGGGTGTTTCATTTAAAAAAAAAAAAATCTGTCACACTTTTTTGACACCCTCTATACCGGGTGTTTTTCAAAATACGCTCACCCCTATAACTTTTTTATTTTCTCAAATAAACAAATGAAATTTGGTGTGTTTATTTATGACCCGTATATGCATGATTTGACGTATTCAATTATTTATTATCAGTTTCGGTTTCACCGGAAATGATCGTAACTTTCTTATTTTAAATGAGACGCCAGGTATATTTTCCCCTTTTTTAATAGAAAACTACTAATACTACATAAATATGTTTTCGCAGTAACTTATTTTTCGGGTTGTAAGAAATGGCTTTATATCTATATTTAAAGTATAGGTACCTACTCCAAATGTATCTGGTAGTTGGGCTTCAATTATTATTATTCCCTGAAATACCTCTGGTTTGCTCTTCTCGAAATAGCCGTAACATTTTATTATTTCCTATTTCCCTTATTTTCTTTTGAGAAATTATTTTTTTTAATACTGCGACACTTACGAAATTATGTGAAACACACTTAAAACTGTCTGGAATTTGACATATACTGTCATTATTATACGAGGGTCAACCTGTCAAATTTCCATGGATAATGCTACGCCAATAATATGTGAAAGGGAAATGGTCTCCTGGCCAGCTAGAGGCGTGGATGCCAAGTGTAATTATTTATATCAAGTGGCTTTCTTTATTTTGTAAGGATATTTTATTTTTGCAACAAAAGTCATAATTTTTGTAATACTTTTGCTAGAGCAGAAACCGAGGCAGAAACTATAAATCAAAGGATAACGCACACCTAACATGGGATTTTTGGGGTCTATGGATTTTGCCCATTTCTTGATATGTTGTAGAGGATTTAATTCTGAACAACCTTTAAACGGGACGAAATCTTGTAGGTATTACGGTCTTTGAGATATGAGCGTTGAAAGATGAACTTTTTTGCGACTTTTTGTGTGGAGAGTATACGAGATACTGGTGCTACTGGTGTTTATCAGTCAAAATATTGACAGGTTCACATATTTTACGTCACTTAAAAATTAATGGCAACTTAGGTTAAGGCCGGGACCGCACTGGGATTAATATTGGCGCCAGTGCGGTCCTGGCCTTAGCCTATATTGACATTTGTTAGTGACGTGAAATATGTCGACCTGTCAAAATTTTGACTGATAAACGCCAGTTTTTCGTATACTCTCCACACAAAAAGTTGTAAAAAAGTTCATCTTTGAACGCTCATATCTCAAAGACCGTAATACCTACAAGATTTCGTCCCATTTAAAGGTTGTTCAGAATTAAATCCTCTACAACATATCAAAAAATGGGCAAAATCCATAGAGCCCAAAAATCCCATGTTAGGTGTGCGTTATCCTTTGAAGAAAAAAACATAAACCCCCAGAAAGCCCGAAAAAACCCAAAAAAAAAAACCAAAAAACCCATAAGAACCCAAAAAAACCCGACGAGTTGGACACAACAAATTTTTATTTTCCACATAGATAAATGACTCAATCAATTCAAATTATTCTATGAAAAATATGTAAAATTACTTTCTCCGAATTCTCCTCAATGAATGTATTTTTTCCGAATTTAAATTTACTTTTTCCGAATTTGAATTTACTTTTTCCGAAATTAACTTTACTTTTTCTGAAATTAATTTGACTTTTTCCGTAAATGACTTTACATTTTTCTAAATAAAAGTTACTTTTTCCGAAATTGAAGTTCAAATGGTGTAGAAAGGATGAAGTCGCTGCCATTCTCCTGAACAAATATGCTGCAGTTCTGTCACATCCTTTCTCAGCCATGATGAACAAACAATCTTGTTTGGTAGGGCAAACTACTAAGGGAATGGAAAAATGCCATTTTACTGATTTCAATAATATTAAATTCGATGAGTTTATCTTTGACAGTTTCCGAGAAAAAAAAAAAAATCTGTTTTTGTCATAAAAAACGATGTGTTAGGAAAGGACTTTATAGGTCTGTTCTCACAGAAATCACAAACCAGTCAGAGCATTTTTGATTCGTGCAAATCGCCAAAAACTAGTTTTCTGACTATTTCCAATTAATGAAATTCCCTGTGACTGGTTTGTGATTTCTGTGGAAACAGACCTCATGTATCTGTAAAGAAAGTGAAAAAGGTTCTTACACATCGTTTCTTATGATTAAAACAAATATTTTTGTTTCTAGAAAATTGTTAGAGACAAACCTATCGACCTTTATATCATTGAGATCACCAAAAACAGAACTATCCTATGAGCTATTATTATAAAATGTGTTCTATTAAAAAAAAAAACGGACCTTGGTCAATATCTCAAAATCGGCGCCAAATAGAAAAAAAACGGAGAATATTACTGGATTCTGTTTGAAAAAGTGCTTCTAGAAAGTTTTTACGGAAATCAATTATTTTCATAAATAGAAAAGTTATGTAACTTTCACCAGCTCTAGCGGCAAAACGGTTGAAAATATCAAAATGCTATTTGCACTAATCAAAATTTCATGAAATTTGAGCCCTAGAATGGAGGGGTTCATTTTCTTGTATCACACTCAGAAATTGACGTATCCTATTAAGTGTCCAAATTGGAACACCCTGTACCAAAGGAGCGCCCATTATTTTAAATAAAAAAGATGACAATGACAATGTTAAAATAAAAGACTATCAACGACACCATATAAAACTACTTGTGTACCTGCTGTTT